TAAAGCACAAATAAAATATCACCACAGTCGACAAATTTTGTGATTTCATTTTTTACAGATGAATAAACTTTCACTGTGTACACATGTACCACAGCTTCATATTCATTATCATGATTTATTTTTCTAGACTTTCAGAAACAAGTTCTATCTCACTAAAATTCCCTTACAACTGCCACTGATTGCTCTCTCTTCAACTGCTAGAAATGGTCATGTTTTCCTCAAGCTGATGCTCACCTGAGGAAATTCACCTCTTCAGATGGCTCAGTTATTACAGAACCTTAAATGACTTTGTCACTGTCTGTCTTTACTGTATTCTCCACCTGCTCAATCAGAAACACTTTGCCTGTGAAACCTCTGAACATGCAGCCCTTGCCTTAGTCAGCAGCAATTCTCCATTGAAGCAAGAACAGCTATTGACCCTTTCTTTGTTTGTATTTCTGGGCAATGTTTAGACAGTGGTTTGCTCTGTTGCACTACGTCCAGGAGGTGTATATTGAGTTCGTGTGCTAATGCCTTTGTATCTCATTAGATGAGGAGGGGAAGCCAGGGCCCTGGGTAGAGTGGCATATATAGCTTGCCCAGGACCCCCCCCAAGTTAAACATTTTGGCTGGATATAATATTTAAAACTAGTAACCCCATTTCACACTAAAAATATTTCTGATTTGAACAATAAATTCTGTAATCTCTATACTATAAAGGCTCAGATGGGTCTCCAATAAATTATTTTCATTGTTACTTCATAACTATAATATTGTTATGAATCATAATGTAATATGAATATGAATTAATGTAATATAATATTAATCATAACTTTTGGAGATAGAGATTTGCTGAAGTGATAATGACCCATAGGCTGAGAACCACTGTTCTAAACTAACACTGTTTTCTCTTCTGTTTCAGTTTCCTCTGGCTTACATTGAGGTAAGAAACTTAACTGTTTCATATTCAGAGAGAAATCAATCCGCTGAAAGTAACTTGATGTTGGAATGTTGTAGCAGTACTGTGGGTCAGCAGCCTTCCACCATTGTGGATAATTGCTTCATTATATCGCACTAACTTTTATTCCTCCCTACCCTGATGCTTCCATCATGAACACGTGGTCTTAGATGTGTTGATGTAATTAAAACTCTATTTACTTACAAAATTTACAACCTGTCTCACAGGATCCAAAGACGAATCGAATTATGCAGTGGCGGGATATTAACATAGAGCATGGCCTTAAGCAGCTGTCCTTCAGCCTGTCATCAGAGCCTATTCAGGGCTCCTACAAGATAGTGATAGTGA